TTGCTTTCCCCACATAGTGGTTCTACCTCCTCCTTCCTCTCACGGTCCCCTTGCTCAAGAATCCTAAAGTCACACCCCTGCCTCTCTGTCTAGCCATTACCTGCCAGCAACTTTATTTACCAATCAAAGCCAAATGGGGCTGGGACCCTCGGAATCTTACATGTGGATTCTCGTATAATTTTGGGGACTGTTTAACCAACCTATTGGTGTTGTTTAGATCTTAGGATATCTATCAGTCAATACTGTCTGTAAGTCTGCCTTAACACGCTGCCTGATTACCTGAGGATAAATTTCTATTCTAAATCACAGTTCCCAGAAGTGATATTGCTGGACTGGCCCAGGCTACTGGGACTGAAGCTCACACTGTGACCCTTCTCTTCTCAGAGCACCCACCCCTTACTCTCCAAGATAGCTTTCCCCTGCCTCATCTCCAATACCTCTTTCTGTCTCACTATTATCTTTTCAAAACGTTGCAGAGTTACCAGGGCAGCATTATACCTGGTTGTTTTTGTTTGCATTCCACTCACATCCCTGGAGCTGATGTCCTCTTAGCTCTCTCTTTATGAGATTTCAGCTCTTGTGCACACACACACACACACACACACACACACACACACACACACTTCTCTTATATGTATTACAAAATCCCCTCTTTCTGTGTCCTTGTCAAACTAACCCTCTGGCTTTCCATGGAACACCCAAGCCTCCAGTCCTGTCTCCTCCATCCTCCCATACTCTCCTGCCACCCTCCATGCCTGTCCCTGGCCATCTGCTTCAGAGCCAGTCTGGGATATGAAGGATGAGTCTCCCCTGGCCTCTGCACAAGTAGGATTCCATCAAGTTCCCTCCAGGGAGCATCACCCACAGACCAGGTGTGTGGCTGGATGTGCGCCCTGGCTTGGTCTCTGCTCGTCTCCTTGCTTTCTCCCCTTAGTCACTCCCTTGTTCACTCTCAATCAAGTTCTACCCTTCTGTGCCTCCTTAGGCTCATCCCTGAGCCCTCAGAGAGCCGTTAGCTCATTCTACAGTTGTCCCAGGGGAGTCAGGCTCCCCTGACAGGCAAAGGCCAGCCACATCTCTGTCCTCAGTACCTAGCACAGGAGTGGCACAGAGTCCTCATAACTAGAATGTATTACTCAATTAATTAACTAATTAATTAGCAAACTCTTTCCATTCCCAGCCCCTAGCCTGGTGAGCAGACATCTAAAGCATGTCATTGCCATTTGACCTCTGGTCTCACTTGCTCTACTCATCCCAGATCTAAGTGCAGACGACGCACAGAGAGCTTGTGAACTTCCACCTTCTACAGGGGAGCTGTCATCTACCTAAGTGGCTTCCTGGGACCCAGAGTTGACTCTGGGTCATCTCAGAGCTGTACCCTGTCTGAGTTAGGGCTCTAATGCCTTGGGGAGAAGCACTGGGCTCTGCTATGCTGGTGGCTGGGTCTGTGATCAGCAATGAGGGTGTGGAACCATGGCTCCATGGCCTTCAGGCCTGTCCTGCTGCCAGCGCAATACGTCTTCACAGGCAGTCAGTGCTGAATTCTAACCCCAGGTAGGGCTCAGGTGTCCTCGAGCCACCAGTGTATCCTGGGTCCCTTTTGTGCCTGTTAACAGTATGGCCCCTGTTAACTATATCCCTCAGCATCGCCTTCCTCAAGTCACTCCTCTGCTCCTGCATGTCACCATGTCTCCCTTACTATTAAGACCAAATCTGGCTCCATGCAGGAATTCAAGGAGCCCCAGATCACTACAGCCTCCCTCTCCCACCTTGACTTCCACCATTCCAAGCACACCAGTGTCCCCCAGTTTGGAAGACACCCTTTCTTCCCTTCCCACGACAGAGCTGACCTCTGTCATGCCCTCTGTCTGACATCCCCTGTCTCTTCATTTTTCTGTCTGGGTTCCAGCTTGAGGTCCTTCATAATCCAATCGAAAGGAAACAAACAAAACACGGAAGCACCCTTTCCTCCAGCGTCTCTAGCTTGCTCATTCAGAGAGAAGATGGGGAGGGTGGTGTTTATAATCCATCAGATCCATCCCCTGAGTTTGGAAACGTTGGTGACAGGGTTTGAGTGTCAGCCCCGTGCCTATAATGACACCTGGTGTCAAGGTTCTGAACACAGTCTGCTCATTTCTGCAGATGACAATAACAACAGTAAGCATGGTTTGTGGAGGGCTGACTGGCACCGTGTGCATACCACCCTCTCCATAAACTGCAACCCATCTAAATCACTACAGCGTGCTTCTGATGTCTGTGTCACTGCCTCTGCTTTATGAATAAAGACAAGTAAGTTCAAGAAGATGAAATCTCTTGGCTGTAGACACAGAACTGACCAGATGGAAACCCAGCTTCACATTCATGACAGATACTCTAAGGCTGGCCCTCTGTCCCAGGCCGGGGATCACTGTGCCCATGCCAGGAACCTGCAGTGTGGGCACCTGGCTCCTCCAGCTCTGCTCTGCCCCACACAGCTGCTGCTACTTACTTTCCTAAGCAGGGAAGCATGCGGGGAGGCCCCTAAAGACTTTCCATTTCAGAGATCACAATCACTCAACCATCCTAGGGAAGAAGGGCAGAAAAACAGAGCCATGCTCAGCTGAGGAGACCCAGAGGGTAGAATGGAAAGGGAATGAGTTCTGCTCCAACATGGGGCAGGCTGGTCCAGGGTCCATGGAGCAGAAGAGAGAATTTAGGCCAAGCCTTGGGGTCTGGAAGAGAACGGCATCCAGGAGTAGATGTACCCAAGCCTAGGATAGCAGGAAGGTGTGTCTGCAGTGCTGGACATGCATGACATAGCGGGTGATTCATCTACAAAGGGCAGTGGAGGCCAGAGGATGACGGGCTGTGGAGTCAGGCTAAGGGATCTGACCTATAGCAGAACACAGTGGGAATCGGGGAATGTGTGGAAGCCAGGGTGAGTCTCCCTCACCACAGCAGCGGGTGGGGACAGGAAGGTGCTCCACGCAGCCTGGCTGGCCGCTCTGCCTTGCTTCTGTGTACCTGGAGCTATAGACTTAGAGCCAGAGGTGCTATAGAAGGGCCACTGTGCACCATGTTACTTGAAAGGCACAGGCCTCCTGCACACATTCTTCCTCTCACTGGCTCCTGGGTGGGAGCAGCAACCACCCCAGCAGCCCCGACTCCCTCAGGAGACACCATGCTCAGCTCCACGTCACTTGATGCTAGAACACCTCCGGCACACTCTCAGTCTGCATCCTTGTGGGAGCTTTTCTACATTCCCTAGTAAGTCACTCGCCTGTTGTCTTTTTAATGGGTGAGACATAGCTGATCATCACGTTGCTAATGAGCAAACAGATGCGGAGAGAGAAGGAAGCCTAACACTGTTTGAATACCTGTGATGTGCCAGCAAGCACTGTAGCCATTTGTTCATCTTACTCTCATCTCCACCCGGGGGTGGGGGTGGGGCGGCTATCTTCACTGCAGAAATGTAGACACGGGATCAGAGACAAACAGTGACCTGTTCAAGCCTGCACAGCAAGAACCTGGCAGAGGATGGATGTGAACCCAGGTCTGTTTGTCTGACATTTAGGACATTTGCCATGTATGGTCAACTGACTGCCCTTTCCCAGGGCTTTTTTGAGGACTAGATGGAATAAAGAATGTGACTGTGCCCAAGGACAGGGACTAGACGTGCAGTCTTACCTCCTTCTACCTTCATGTGTAGAGAAGGAACAGGCACCTAAGAAGGACTTCAGGATGCCCAGGCCACAACAAACCATTAGCAGGCCAGTGCTCAGGGCCCCCAGGACAATTGTCTGTCCTTGCCACCCCTCCACAGGGACTTTCTCCCTAGAGTGGGAACTCCCACATCAGACAGGGAGAGCAACTACCCTGGCAAGCAAACTAGTACCTAGGTCTTGGGGGCTGGGATCCAGGGTGTGACACCCACCAGGTTCCTTCAGGCCCTCTGGCTACTCCAAGCCACCATGAGCACCTTGCTTCCCTCTGATCCCATCAGCCATCTGGGGGACATCCAGAGGCACCAACTGGTATCCCCCCACACTGAGTCAGGGAGGCAACAGAATGGTAGGTTCACTGTGGCAGCTGCAGTGAACAACTAGAGAGCTAGGGAGGGCTAGAACGGGAGGAAGAGGGCCACCGCCCCTGCTGCTCAAGCTCACAACCCTTCCTTGATATCCTTGATACCAAAATCAATGGTGCCCTCTCCTCTGCCCGTACCTGCCAGTCACCTGCTGGCTCCAGAGGCTGACTGGGATCCAGAAGGGCTGAGATAAGGAACAGCAAAAGCAGACTAGCTGAGGCACAGGCAAAGCAAATGGTGACTAAGCCACGAGAGAAGCAAACGCCACACCGCTGCCCGCCACGCCCCCAACCGCCTCTGCTCAACCACTGCTGCCCTGGTATTACAGCGTAGCTTGGTCCAGGCTCTTCCCCTTCCAGAGTCGCAGGTCACAGGATCATAGATAGCAGCCTGCTTAGTGAAGCAGCCTGATCTGGAGCAAAACTTGCTCCTTGTCAACCACCTGACACAAGCCCCGATCCCCCAGGGTATCCTTTCTTGCCAAGCTTGGTGCCTCGGGTTGTCCACCCCCCCTCCATGCCACAAGCTGGCTTTGAGTTTCACTCCTCAGCTATCAGTGTAAGTGGGCTCATCCCAGGCAGCTTGGGGACATGGTCTCACTTCAGGGTAGGTGGGGAAGCCACCTGTAGTCCCCCTACCTCATCTGTAGGAAAGGCAGAGCTACCCTTCCCCTGCTGTGGCTGACAGCTAGAACCTCTTGGTATCTGAGGCCTCTGTAGCTCTGATTCTGAGCATGGGGGCCTTTCACACACACACAGCTATTCCACATGGCCACACTACTGTGTCTGCTGTTCCCTTCACAAAGAACCCTCGGTGGCAGCCAGGCGTGAAGCCTCATTTTATTCTGCCCTGAGGGAAATGGGCAGTTTCACCGAAAAGAATTTGCAGGCAAATAAAGGTGACCTTTCAATGTGAAAAAGGTTTTTTTTTTTTTTTTTTAATTTCAGCCCTTGGTGCTGGCTCTGCTCTGTCTGATGTGGGTCACAGTTGTCCCTTCCTGGGCCAGCAGTACACAGCAGCTGCTACATGTCACCTCACCCCTGGCTGGGACATGAGCAGGGTCACATGGTCCATGACCTATCAGCAGAGAGGAGGTGCCTGGTGGATGCATCTTCAGTGAAGAGGTAGACACGCCCCAGAAGTGGGGAGGGTTGGGGTGTGTTCTCACAGAGAACCAGCGAGATCTCCTTCCCTCCGCTGAGACCCCGATCTTCTCCCAGTGCCCGGCTCTAAGACATCTCAGAACAGAACTAAGTTGTGTAGACTTAGCTGGGGAAGGCAGCAACACCCTCCTTCTGATGACTCCTTCCATGCTAGGCTGAGAACAGAGGGCTCTGCAAGATCTGGGGGGCTGGGGGTGACTCTGCTCCCACCCCGGCTTCTGCTCCATTCTGTGTTCCCAACTTACAAGACAGTAAACTGAAATTGTGAGCCCTTTGTGGAAGGGTCAAGGACCAATGACTGCTTTCCAAGCAGAGTGCCTAGCACATGGCAGATGCTCAGTAAATGCCAATGGCATCAAGCGGGAGTAATTCAGCAGCTGGATTTTCTCCATTCTAAGCCAATGCCAATGTGTTCTGTGAGCTGCTGTTGGGTTCTTCTGGTAGCTTTTTGCCTGGTTTTATGACTGTCTAGAAGCCATTTTTTTAAAAAAGTGGGTGCCGGAGACTAAGAGTCCACACTTGTCAAAATCAGGGAGAGTGACACTATCTGCAAAGGTTCCCAGATCAACTGAGATCTTCACATGCCAAGGGTCTCCTGGGAACTATGGTGAATGAGGCCAAGATGTTGTCCCAGGGCCGCGGCAAGCAACAGACACAGAAATGGATGCACATGCCCCAGAGAAAAATTTTCATCTAGGGGTTGGGATGCCAGGGAAACTAGCAGAAGAAAGGTCACTTTGGCAGGTGTATAGGAATGGACATGAATTCACTCGGCACAAGACGCCCTGGAAGAACATGGCTCAAGCAAGGGTATGGGCATGGACATGGGCTAGGGGCATGAACAGGAGGGACCAGAGTGATATCCAGAGGTCAGATCAGCAGATGCCAGCCATAGAGTCACGGATCCCAGAGCAGTAGAATCGCTGAAGACACTGAGCCAGGAGATGGCATCAGCTCTGAAAGGGGTGAGTCAAACAGCCATCAGAGGACCAAAACACAGTGGACATAGGGCTCTCAGGGGTCCTGGGTAGCACCACAAGGCCCAATCAGAAGCCAGCATTAGGAGAAGAAAAGGGCTTCTGAGGGTCTGCTGTAACACAGGACATCAGAAAACCCCATTCTATCTGCAGGTCAGCAGAAAAAACCACAACCAGAAGTAATGCAGCTCGCTGAGGGGAGGATTGCTGCCCCCCATGAGTGTTCTTTTCGGTTCCCAAGATGCTTCAGTTCACTGCCTCACTTGACTCTCCATACAATGCTGTTTGGGACTTGGAAAACTGAGCCCTTGAGGGGTCACATGAAGTGAGCAGTGCTGTCAGGCTAGACCCAGGAAACAGTTTCATCTCAGCCCTGGACATCAGGCTCAAAGCCCAACTCTTTGTCAGGAAGGGGGTCCCCAGGGCTGTCAGGCAGCCCGTAGTAGAGATCTTCCTCCTCCTGCTCTGGTTCTTCTGCACCAGCCTGGACAGTCTCCCCCTTCATCCTCAGAGACCATCGCTGCTTGCTGGGTAGAGCTGCCTCCCGTGCCTGTCCCTCCAGGACCATGTCCTCTGATGTAGGGGTGTCATCAATCAGAGCAAAGTCACTGAAGCGATCCAGTGGACCCCTGCTGGTCCAGGGCACCTGCGAGTGTGGCTCATCCTTGTCGGGTGGGGATGGATGAGGGCAGCTGCCTTCGCTGGAGTCCACGTCCAGGTCATCATGGAATGATGCCAAGGGTGCAGAGCCTTGGAAACATGCTGGAGGGCTGCAGAGACAAAGGCCATGGTCACACTGTTGGATCCAGATCTCAGCCACTAGCTGCAGAGAGTCCCTATCTCTGAGTCTCCTTTTATTGCCCTGAAAACTGAGGGCAGTGGGAATCTTCTCTCGTGCGATAGTTTCTGAGATTTACAGAAGGTAAATTGTTCAAAGTACTTCATACAGTGCCTGGCACAGAGTAAACATTCATGCAACAGAGCTGGAAGGAAGGAAGGGAGGAAGGAAGGGAGGGAGGGAGGAAGGAAGAAAGGAAGGAAGAGGGGAGAGAGAGAAGAAGGGAGGGAGGGAGGGAGGGAGGGAGGGAGGGAACCAGCTAAGTGGCTCATCTAAAACTGCAGGCACTCCAGATTCTTCTCTGGCCCCTCACAGTCTGTTTCACCCTGCCAGTCCTTCTGTGTCCCTTTCTGCCTCCCCCTCCCCAAACTTGGACAAGAATCTCCAGGAAACAAGAGGGCTGTCAAGGCCTGAGAAGGAGTTGGTGTCTAGTAATGACAGAACATGTGGATGAGTGCATCGATCGGATAGACTCGAAAATAAACAGGGACTGAGCTGTGGCAGGGACAAACTTGCTGGAGGTTCAGGGCAGGTCAGCAGCCCAGCCAGCATTTAGATCCAAGCCCTATGGCTCCTGGCCTCTGGCTGCTCCCGAGCATTTGGGAAATGGCTGTGCCCATGAGAAAAACTGCTCGGGAGAGTCTAAAACCCACCACACTTATACAGCCAATTAACACCAAGCCCCAGCCCAGCCTCATTTGTCTGTGACCCTCTGCTGCCTGCTCCTCACTCCCAAGTGTCCGTGCCATCTCGCGGCATCCAGACTGCACTTTGCCCTAGAACTGAGCCCACTCCTATGCTGCCCACTCACCTGCTCTGAGAACAGGCTTTCTCTCCCTCGTTCTCATCCAGTCCTCTATGGACGACCACTGGAGCCTCCATCCAGGCCTGAGCAGTACGAGGCTCGCCTTCCCTGATACTGCTGGCTCCTGTCTTCAGTTCGGGGGCCAGCAGTGGCCTGGGGTCCTCACTGTAGCCCATGACCTTCATTTGGATGTGAGTGAAGTCTGGGAGGCTCTGGTCATAGGCGGCTTCTTCCCACAGCCTGACGTAGGGCGGTTGGGGGCTGGGTCGGACAGACAGTGGGAGAGAAGTAAGGCAGGCAGACATGAGTTTCCTCACCAGGACCCCTGACTGCCTACATGGGGGGACGGGCCCACTGATTTCACAAGGAAAACTTCAGGGGTATCACTGGACCAAGGGCACAGATGATGAGGCTAAGGTCCAACAAGGTAAGTAAATTAAGTGGTCTGACCCCAAGTCAACTTCACATAATGTGCCCAAATGTATCCACAGCCTGTGACAGCAAGAAGGAGAGGACCTGGCATGAAGTCTTGCCGAGCCACTCCTCAAGAATCACCGTTGTGGGCTCACAGCTCTGACGCAGAGTAGAGCGAGCCACAGAGGGAACCACAGCCGCTATAGGCTCACTGCCTGCGACGCTGGGGACTGATTGCCTCCTCACTTCCTGCAACTCTGAGAGGTTCTGTGAGGAAACTGAGGCCTATACATAAACTACCTTGTACATAGAGAGACACAGACTCTGTCTGCTTAGTGGACCAGGGCCATAGTGATCGTTCTCTGCCACTGTGCTTCAGAGACTAGGCCCTTGTCCAAGGTCACATGACTGGGAGGTGACAAGATAAAGGAAGGAGCCCCAGGTAGTCTGAGCTAGTTACAGGCCCTGGGATAGCGTTTGAGTGGCCACTATTTCCCACTGGGACACTTCTCCCTGTGTATCAGGAGTGGAAAATGCCAGCATTACAGATTACCCAAAGCAAGCAGAGTGGCTCTCAGCGCCCCCTAGCGGCAGAGCCTGAAGCCTGCACTTTGGAGCTTGGGAGTCACTGCTTGGGATTAGCCAAAGCTAAAGGGTTCTCAGCTGTACCCCAAGCTCGAACTAGGGCTTGGCACCTCCGGGAGGAAAACAGGCTATGGCCAAATCAGACCAGGATTCACACCTGTCTCCTTCACTGACTCCCAGTCTGTGCTTCTCTGAACCTTCATTTCTACATGTACAAAATAAGAATGACAGTGTAAACGCTCAAAACTGAGAGTTTTAAACTACCGATGATTTCAAAGAGCGTGTTCTCAGAAAACTTGAGGCAAAAAGGAAACTGGATAGGACAAGATAGAGACACAGGCATCCAACCCAGACATCCCAGTTCTCCCCTTCCTTAGTTCTTCCCTGTTCCCCTCATTCAGACCTTTGACAGGAGGCTGGACTGAGAGCCATTCTGCCCACACTTACCTCTTTACCTCCGGAAGCCCGGTCTCCAGCAGGCTCAGGGCCTTTGGCGACAAGATGCCTTGGAAGTCAGAGTCTGCCGGCACAAAGGTGATCTGTAAGGAGAGAGGATATGGTCTCTGCAACTGGCCAGGGCTGGAGCTAGCTGTCTAGCTGAGCCCAGAGTCTCTGCAACCTTCTCTGCACATTGTACATGAGAAGGGGGACCTGGAAGAGCCTCTGTTGATATCAGAGTTCTTGTTCATAGCTCAGCTCCAGTGGGTAGACTGGCTCCTGTCCACACCATGTTCTCCCTTCACTGGACACTCCATGGAGAACCTGCCATTTGCAGACACCAGTGTGAGTAACAGAGATGCCCTGCCCTGGGGTCCAGGCCCATCATTTCCCACCTGGTGAGTGAATGGAAAGCCAGTCACTGGCCTGTGCTTCACAGGACACATTTATGATGGGGAGGCAGAGACACAGGTGGCTGTGAGTGTGCCCACAGAGTGCCATCCCTGAACTTTCCAAATCAAGCAGCCAAGCTACAGGGGTGGCCTCTGCGGGTGGGCAGGCAAGCCATGAAAGAGGGAGTCAGGTGAGGCGATCCTAGAGTGTCCTGGAGACAGGCCCTTGCTGTGGGTCCAGGGCGGCATCCCTTCTTCCAGAGCCTCCTTGAACTCTTGGGGCTAATGAAAGAAACTTCCAAGAGACACCTGCTCCTCCATGCTCAGAGAAACACTGTGAGCCACAATCAGGAGATGGATAACAAGATACAAGGAGCATAGGTAACGGCGTGCCGGCCGGCCTTCGGAAAGAAGTTCAGATGCGAGTTACGGCAAAGCTGAACTTGGAAGGCGTGGTGCTGAGTGAAATATGCCAGGTCGGGATGTGACAGAGAAAACACTGTAAGATTCCACTTCCCTGGAGCACCAAGTGGTGAAAATTGGAGAGGCAGAGAGTAGGCTGGTGGCTCCCGAAGACTGATGAAAATAGTAATGAGGCACTGTCTCACGGTGGGTGTGAACCCATTATTTCCCAGTCTGGAAAGAGTTCTGGAGAGATGGGCTGACCACTTTGTGTCTAATGCTTCAGACTGCATGCGTACCCATCGGGTATCCTATGCTTCTATGTTTTATGGAACTTTTAGTGGTCTGTGTCCCAAGAGAGCTGGGAGGGCTCCTTGAGTAATACAGAGGACTCTTGGAACATGCTACCTGGACACCCAGCTTCTCAGAAAATCACAACATGGTCCTACTGGAGTCCAAGCCGCTGAGCTCACAAGTCTGAACACTTTTCATGCAACATCCGATGAGCCTCTGGTGAACGGCTCCAGATTCACAACCAGCTCTCTCTGTCTCTTCCCACAGAGTACGGTGATGGAGGGATGCACTGTGCACCAGCCAAAGCTTCGTGATGATGCAAAGATGGGAGTGATGGGTAGAGGAGCTTTTACATTCCTGAGGAGGCACTACTCACTCCCTGACAGGTGTCTAAGCATCTTACATCTGTATTAAGGATGCTCTGTGGCCAGCTGGCTCATTGTCCAGATAACGTCATCATCACCACTATCAACATCACCATCATCATCACCATCATCACCATCATCATCACTATCATAACCGTTACCATCATCACCACCTCCATTTTCATCATCACGGTCATCGTTGCCATCACCACCACCACAACCATGACCACATCATGGACATGAGAAACATGAAGACAGAGAGGAAGCAGCATCTTAGAACACAGATTTTTTTTTCCTAAAGAAAGAGGATGGACTCACAGAATTGATGATCAGAGGAAGGGATCGGGTCTTGAAACCCTCAGAATGTCAGGCTGAAGATTTCAACCTTTATTCACAGTCCTGGGCATTCCAGAGGGGTTCCTCCACCTCAGCCCCACAGAGAGTACCTGTGGGATCTGAGTTCAGGATGAACTCTTACCCGTCCCAAGACTCAGGAAGCATAGAGAGGGAAACCCACAAAGAGGACAGGGGCTCCAACTACCTGGTTCTGAGCTCCAGCAGAGCAGATGAAGGAAGGACCAGAGGACTCGGAGCTGAGGCTCTGCTCTCCCTGCCTTTTCCTCACCCCCTGTTCCCAGCTCATGTTCAGGCTCAGTGTCTTCAACAGCTCCCCACACTAGATTTACCCTGGCTCGGTTCTCCCTTGACCCACGCCTGAGGCCCAGGTGAGTACCAGAGCTAACCAGGTTTGTATTCAACCCCTAATAGAGCAGCCATGGGGAGGAACAGGACCCATTTCTCCCTCCTCCTCCACGGTGATGGCTCTAGAGTCTGAGTCCCCACCACCACGACCTTCCAGGGCCAGCAACATCATCTGAAGAACGAGGCCTCTGCACCTGCTTCACACAGACACAGAGCAAGCACCCCTCCCATCCCCACAGCACCCTTTGCTTCCTTCCATTTGACTATGCCAGGCATGGGGGCAATTCTGCCAAAGTCACAGACTTGGCACAGGGTGTAGGGGCTTGAACTGGGGTCTGAGGAGCACTAGGAGGTATGGGTTTCCACCACTATACCATCTCTCCACACAGCTATCAGCCTTCAACAGTTACTCATTAATACTCAGCCCTGGCCCCTCCCCGCTACAGGTGACCCTGCTATTACTCAGTCCCTGCCAGCTGCCCCTAGGAAGGTCACTTGTCTTTTCAACACACCCACCCTCCCTGGGTGGGGACGTGGTAGCCCTGGCCTCAAGGCCCTCTTCTCCCAGTGACCTCTGCTCAGGACATTGAGCACATAGGAGAGAGTTGACTGTAAACTGCTTTATAAATGGCTCCAAACCAGTTCCGACTGCCCAAGCTCCAGATTTAAGTGACATGACAGCCCTGGACTGGCTACAGAGGCTGCAGGACTCCGAGAGGCTGGGACCTGGCCCCAATTCTTAGAACTCCTTCTGGGTACTCACACCCCCAAAGTAGGGAAGAGTAGAGGAGGCTGGGAGGGCAGGGCTGCTAGTATCAAGGTTTACTGGGACCTCAGATGTCCGGATGTCCGTCTGCCTTTCCCACACCATCCTCCTGATGCACATTGTACGGTTGATGAAGCTGAGGCTCAGAGAATAAAGAGGCTCAGTCTCTTAGGCACTTAGAGGCAGAATGCAAGTTAGACCCCTGATGCCCTCCCATATCCCTGAGTCTGTCTCTAACTAGCTGTGTGACATTGTGACGGTCACTCCACCTCTCTGAGCATTGAAGTTCTACAACACCTGAAATGTTCACTCCTCAGGGCTGTGTAAGGATCAACAGTACTAACAGCAGCAGCTGGTGTTTAGCTAAACACAACACTGCAGTTGCAAATATGCCCTTCCCCGTCTTCTACATATCATACCTGGGTTACCACAGGGCTATGCGGAGCTGAGACAGGGGTGTGTGTGTGTGTGTGTGTGTGTGTGTGTGTGTGTGTGACCCAGCAGAGCAGCTGGAGACTGGAACAGAGCACCCAGGCTCACCACTGCTTTTAAAAGCGAGCTCCAACCCAAGATCTGTGCTCTTGCTTCAGGGTCTGTGGGATGAAAGGGAACTGCAGAACACGGTCAGGGTGAGCTGGGGATTCGAACTTAGCAGATAGCAAATGCTGGCCAAATCCTGATCAAAAGGGACAATTGTGATCAGTCTAATTCCATTGTGTCCCCATGATGACTGGCTCCGGGTCGGCCACAATGAGAGATGGATGGATAAGCAGAAGGATATTCCCCAGAGCAGAGAGAATATAGGGAGTCCAAATGGAAAGAACACATCAGTGGGAGGCCAGGGGTTGGTGCCAGAGACCGTGAGAGCTATCTGTCCTTCCACCCCCTCCCAACCCCCTTACCTTAGGATAGCACTGGCACATGCTCCAGATGACACCCCCGATCACCATGATGCTGCCCATGGCATAGAAGGTGCCGTAGACCTGGGGTCGATCGTGGCTCATGAGGAACGTGCCCAGGGATAGCAGGAAAAGGCCCAGCACGATGAAGCCGATTCGGAAGGTCTTCTCATCAGCCATGGTGGCTAACCAGCCCTGGTAGCTGGTCAGCACACCAGCAGAGGGCTGCCCACAATCCTTCTCAAACTTTGAGCAGGCTCTCAAGGAGGGATGACACACACTAGATGGCTCAGAACCAAGGTAATGCACAGGCAATCAACGATCCCCACAGATCCAGCTCTCAGCCCTGGGCCCAGCAGGGCAGGTGACACGCTTCGATGGGCCCAAGGTCCCAGCCATCTACCTTTCTTTCTGCCACTGTCCTCCCCTCTGGGCCCAGCTGTTTGGAGCTTGTGAATCTGAACATAGGACAGAGGCAGGGGAGGGCTGGGGGAGGTCACAGGGGCTGGACCAACCATGGCTTTGACAGCACCTCATTTGCCTACTGTGGAGCTGAGCCCAGACAGGCTTTGCACCTCCCAGCTCTGGGAGGTGTGGGTGGGGCCGTGGTGGCTTCCAGAACCCACAGCCTGACAGCTTAGACACCTAAAGACACCTTCTCAAGGACACCTGAGCTTCTGGGCTCAACAGAAATATCTGTACCTACAAAATGGTCACCCTCCTAGATATGCCTCCATTCGAGTCAACTAAGGAGACAGGTGCCGTGTTCCCATTTCACAAGCGAGGATGCAGGCATAGACAGGTAGCCCGCCCAAAGTCACAGATAATAACAGAGCAGCTGGGACTAGAGCTGAGAGACTGTGTGTCCCATGAGCAGGACCCTAGTCAACCACAACATAGGCAAGAACAGGGGCAGGCTGCAGTTGCTCACCGCCTGTCTTACTAACTACCCTCCTCTATAAGAAGGGTGGGGTGGGGAGAGGGAGACGGTAACCAGAACCAGAGCTGACTCTAGGCCTTACCTCCTAAATCACCTTGTATTTCACATACAGTCCAGCCCTGCGTGTCGTGGGGGCTGAAGTGAACTGGTGCCCCTGTAGATTGACTGACCAACTGGCTAACTGATTGACAGACATCTACTTCACCTGTTCCTGGTCCCTGACACGGAAAGCCATCTTTATCCTAAGAATGACCATTTAGGGAAGGGCTTCTAGTTCTGAGCTGAGTAATAGAGAAAGTCAGATTTGCTTCCGTTGCTGCCACTGCAGAGGCCACCACAGGTAATCAGAGCATGGCAGCTGGAGATCTTGCAAGTGAGCTCGGGGCACCAATGAGCTCCCTGAACCCCTGCATTCGGGAGATTTCCAGTGGGATTGGGATTCTGCTTAGTGGCAGTTTCTGCTCTCACAGCTGAGTTCACTCCGGTTCTGACCTTCCTTGCTTCAAAAGGGGCCACAGGAGTGGTTGGGGAGTCCTCAGTCTTTCAGCAGAGGGCGTGTTAAATGCTGTCTTCTCGAAGGCGTGACCAATCTGTGGCCAATAACTACGAGTGCAGCCTAACACTAAATTGTAAATTTACTTAAGAGACTTCTTCACGCATCTTTTTAAAACTCAGTTATCCCATTCTCAGTGTAGACTATGCAAATGACAGTGTTGTATTGCAACTCAAAGAGGTGAACAAGCCCGAAGGAATTGCAGGTCCCGGGAGTAAGCCGTGGGTCCCAACAAGAGACTCAAGGCTAGACAGCGTACTCAGGGCATAAGCAGAAATCTAAGCCTGGAAAGGCAAGGCTCGAGCTGAGGGGCTGGAGTCTGTCAGTAACAGAGCTTGGATTCCTGCCAGGTTCAGGAAACCTGCCTCTGCTTAGGCTCCAGCCATAGCGGGCGCTCAGGGCTGAGGCTCGATGACGGACACTGCTCCAAGGATGGAGCGCTCAGCTGCATCTTCTCCAGCAGCTGTGACAAAGACTGCATGATACGGCCAGTCCACAGTGTACACACTGCCCATGTCAGCCATCTTCCAGATCCTTCCTGGGTCCCCACCCCTGACTCCTCTCTCCCCAAATCCTGTTATCTCTACCGTCCATAAACAAGACTCCAATCACTCCTCACCCTCTACTGTCCTCTCCCTGTCACTGGTCTCTGCTTCTACCCCTGACCCCTGAAGTCCATTTCTAGCCCAAGCAGCCATCAGCTCAGGTCGATGCTCTGCTCAGAACCCAGAATCGGCAACCTGACTTCTCAGAGTAAAAGCTTGAGGTGGCCCATACGTCCATAGATGTATTTTCTTGCCGCTTGTTCATCATCCCTCCAGGCTGTCACTCACCCCGAGGTCACTCTGGCTCCATGCTGTTCCTGGAATGCACAGACACCCCAGGGCCTTTGCATCTGCTGTTCCTTCTGCCTGGAATGACCTTCCTCCAGATGGCTGTCCCCTTCAAGTCTGTGGTCTTCAACCTTAGTGGGATCTTCCCTGGTCATTCCCTAGACTGCAGAAGCCCTTCCCTGAGGAGCTTCCTCAGCTTTCCTAATATGTTGTATCCCACAGCACTAATCACTACCACACTATACAAACTATCTCATTTGTCTCTTGTCTGTCTCTCCAACTAGAACCCAAATTACAGTGGCAGTGTGTGTGTGTGTGTGTGTGTGTGTGTGTGTGTGTGTGTGTATGAGAGAGAGAGAGAGAGAGAGAGAGAGAGAGAGCATGTTTCATTTACTTCTGAGTTCCCTGGGTCTGGAACAGGGAAGACCCAGGTCTTTGAGAGAGGAGAGCTGACATGTAAGTACTGGAGCTGAGAAAGTCCAATGACGGTCACATTGACAGGAAATCTTAAGAGTGACATTTTCCCAAAACCAACAGGAGCCTCTGTACAGTTAGAGAGGAGGGCAAATCACACTTTGTTGCTAGAAAACCAGAATAGTGGACAGTGGTGGGCAGAGGTCACCAGACACACACTTGCAGGGATCCTGGACAAGATATGGAGAGGCCTGAGTCACTAAGGTCCCTGATGCCTGGGTGCTAGGTGGTAAATCAAGATGAGTCCAAGTGTGGGTGGATGGCCTGCAGTCAAGCGCAGGAAGGGCAGGGAACAGCCTAGTCCCATGCAGGGCCCATGCAGGGCTGCGGAGGGAAAGCCTACCATGGGTGTCTGGCTCCTCCACAGGTTCCTCAGCCACACCGAAACAGCTCAGAAGGAGACAGCACTCTGTCTTGGTGAGATTGCCATAGTCAGGCTGGTGACCTTGAAGAAGTCACTATCCCTTTCCTGAGACAGATGAACAGATGAGGAGAGAGGCAGAAAAGTCCTTTGTGACCTGCTAGCCCTCCCCACCTACCCTTCAGCTGCTGCCAAGACAGAACCTCTTCCTGTCAGCCACTCACTGACTCTGTCCTGTGGTACACACCTCACCTGGGAAACTTCATAGGAATTGCAGAGGGTCTGATACAGGCTCAGCCTCAGTCACCACCAGAGTTGGGAGACAAGGCACCTCCAGACTCCTTTACTGCCTAGAGTAACCTCTGGGAGCCTTGGGGTGTGTGTGTGTGGGGGGGGGGGTAACAGGAGAGTAGAGGAGGAGGGACCATAACTTTGAAGGATAGGAAGTGCCAGGGCCCAGCGGTCTGACTGTGAGCAAAGAGAAAGGGGCGGGAAATAACTGTTCAGAGCCAGTAATTTGGGGTTACTAAGCAGTGAAGCCTTTCCCAGCCTAGAGTATGTAAGGGGTGAGCTGGGGGCCAGGCCTGAGGTGGACTTGACATTAAGAGACTCTTGGTGGCCTGAGAGGACAGCAGGAAAGAGACAGAGTGGTAATATAGCTCCCCATAGTGTTCCAGCATGGACGGAGATCCTGCATCCTGACTGCTCTGAGCTCTCAGCTTGCACAGGCTGTTTCTTCATGTAAGGGCAGCTCACCTGTAATACGAAGGGGTTCTTGGGTGAGGAGGTGACAGGGGCAGAGACCTGGCCTACACCAGCTGTCCCTTGGAGATTTTACCTTAGCCAGCCTTCGTGCTGCTGCTGCTGAGGAGCTTTAGGGAGGCTTTAGGTCCACTGAGGAAGAACATCCCTAGTGAGAATCTGGGCTAACCTGACTCGTGCCACCGGCTTCCTTCTAGGGCTTTTCCCTAAACACACCGGAGAAAGTCTTCCCTGACTGTCCCTGGCAGTGGCAGGGGGTGCGGTGAGGGGGGAGTAGGGGTGGGGGTTCAGGAGCGTGACCCTGAACTACGTAACCCCTCCTCACTCTGATGCTATGTCCCTTATTTCAGCATGACCAACACAGCCTGATCAAAAAGAATCTTATTTGCCAGTTTGTGATCTGTAGCTCACATTGATGGGGCATGGGGTGTGGAGGGTAAGGGTGTGTTGGGAATTAGCAGCTAGGAATGTACAGAAATGGACCAACTGAAGGCACAGGAGAGTGGATACAGACACCATGGGCAGAATGCAGCTGGAGAGTTGCTATTAGTGGCACATCTGGAGAGCTAGTGAGGTCCCTGTCGCAGGATGCTGAGCAGGCGACCTGGTAGAGGAGACTTAGCTCCACCAAGTCTGAGACTTGTGGCCTCTAGCTCAGGGCTGTACCCCTGCATTCAGTTGCTCAGCACCCACTGCTGTCATCCTACGGGTCCACCCACTCTACTCTCTGAGGCAAGAGCTGGCGCTGCTATAAAATGCCTATTCTATCTTATGAATGAGGAAATTGAAGTGGCACACAATGGGGTCTAGGCTCAAGGGGCTGAGATTAGAGTCTGTGTTCTCTTGGCCACAAACCAGGTCTGTAAACTTGGACCACATCTGCTTCTGCCTCTGGCCCTGTGTTTGCCACACATGTTCTCCCAGCTGTCAGCTGTTTGATCCCAGCACACTAGCTTAGAGGTTCTGTTCCAGTCTGGATATTGGCCTCCCCAGTACCTCATGGAGAGAACTATAGGAACCAGCCATGCATAAAATGTGAGACATAATAAAGTGGGGTTTATTTAAAGCCAACTACTGCTCACACAGCAACAGATGCATGAACAGCACCCAGCAATAGACCCCTTGTTGAATGCCTGCTGTGAACCCAGCGCTGGTGGAGACCCTGAGCAAAGCTCGCTGGTTAGGGGCCAGCTTCACAGCCTTGCTGGAGACCTGTAACTCTCCTGCAGCCTGAGCTCAACCTGGGCTGGAGCTTGCAGCACTCGATCCAGAAACAGGCCCCTGAGCGAGGATGATGCTCTCGTAGCTGGGTGGAGGTGAGAGGGATGTTGACCCCAGCCGGGCATCCCCTGGGGTGTGGCACTGGAGGTCTTCTTCAGGTTGCACGGGGAGTTGCAGGGGACCCTCAGCCAGTGGGCAGTACACGGTCTCCTCGTAAGTGGGAATGGCAGCCTCCTTGGGAGACCTGTGGGAACAGGAAAGAGGCTGTTAGCAGGACCAGCTCAAAAGTCTCTCGCATGCCAGGGAGACACGGGAGTCTCCTTATGAAGCTTGCCAACATCAGCTCTCCCTCCTCCTCATACTCCTCCACCTCTGTTCTCTTCCTGCACTTCTTGCTGCCACCACTCCCCACTTTGAAACTCCCTGGGACATCTTTTGCCCTGTCTTCTTGTTTTCCACAGAGCCTCCACACTACTCTTTGATGTCACTGTGCTGACACTCCGTCTTGAGTGTCTAAACGCTGAGAGCAGATGCTTCTGGGAGCAGGGAGTTGTAAGACTGAGTGTTGGTCCATGGACATAAAGGCTGCCAGATGACTGAAATATCGTTTGTAAAGTTACAGTTGTGATGTTCAGGCCAGAGTGTGAGGCCTCCAGTTATCTGCCCATCTGGATGCTTGAGACTTAACATGGGAGTTTATCAGGTAATTGCTTACCCTTGCATGCCTCCAGGGGGAGAGAGCTCACTACTTACCAAGTCAGTCTTTTACTCTACACTGCTGCCCACCCCTGACTCTCCAGCCTACCCTTCACACCTAAACAACCGAACCACCTCGAAGCCGAAGCCGTGTTAGGCAAAGACTGGGTCCTCAGAGGCCGCCCCCCATCAGGCTTTGCAGGCTGCATTCCACAGACAGGTGTCCTGCATCTGAGCCCCTGTGGACCCTCTCCACAGAGTTAGTGCCTTTCCCCATCCCAGGTCCCTGAGCTGGCTGCCACTCTCATGGCAGGCCACCAGGAGGCAGGCTCACCCTCTTGGTCTCAGAGAAGCTCTGCAGGCCCTGGATTTGAATTAAGTGTGAATTTGGAAGGAGGGGGCTGAGGACCTTACTAGGAGACCTACAGCCGAGTATCAACCAGTGCTTACCTTCCTCTGAGCTCCTGCCAAGCCTGATGATATATGCATGTTATCTCAGTATGCTACAGTCAGAGGCAGCAGGATTTGTGTTTGAAGCCAGCTTGGATTACATACCAAGTTCAAGGCCAGCTAGGGCTACCTAGTAAGACCGTGTCTCAACAAATCAGGGGGAGAAAAAAAAAGTGGGTGAGGGTGCTGAGAAGCTATGTTTCTGGAAGCAACACACTGAATTCTATTGATGTGTAGCCTGGGTTCTGTTTTCACATTCTCTGGGCCTCTTTTTCCTCATCTGTGAAGTGGGGCTAATACTTGCTATATGCATCCTAGATGCAGCAGAAGAAAGGCAGACAAAGGGTTAACAGCCCAGAGAGGAATGAGGGCCACAGGGCTCCCAGGGCCCTCTTCTCCCTTCAGATCCACCTCCCAGACATGCCCTGCCCTCCCCAGATTATCTGGGCTGATTCTGGGTCTGCATGTGGCAAACCAGAACCTTCCATCCATGCTTTGTTCAAATTCAGAGCCTGCAGAGCTGCTCTGAGATCGGGAGGGTGAGCCTGCCTCCTGGTGGCCTGCCGTGAGGACGGCAGCCAGCTCGGGGACCTGGGATGGGGAAAGGCTGTAACCCTGAGGAGAGGCCCACAAGGGTTCAGATGCAGAGATCCCAACATGTGGCATCCAGGAGGCTAGGGCTCAGGAACCACAGGAGTTCAGCCCACAGCAGGAAGTTTGCTTCGAGGGCAGGTGTGCAGCGTCCCTGAAGCCAGTGCCTGCCACCTCAGAAGCTCATCAAACTTAACTGTCCAAGGTCATGGGCCAGAAAATAAGAACTCAGGGAATCTGGGCCTTTGCAAGGTCCTGTCCTAGTGTATGGGAGGCTCCTAGCACACTCTCAACACAAAGCTCTGTGGTTGTGGGGTGTGGTCATGCACAGAGACCAGGACAGCCTTGTTAGGGCAAGAGACAGGCTTCATGCTAACCCCAGTGGCTTTCTGTTGAGAGAGCAAACCCAGTAGAAGAGGAGTACGCCCCACCCACCGCACAGAGGAATGGGTGAAAAGCACATCGGCTAAGTGTGCAGCCCAGCCCTCTTCTCTGAGAAGATGCTTACCCAGTCCATGCTTACCCAGCACTTCATCCATTTGTAAAGCAGGGCTAATCCCTACATCCTCTCTGTGAGCAGCCAAGGCTCAGGCCTGTGAAAGACTAAGAGTGCGATAAAGAAGAGCAGAGGAAGCTAAGGGTGCGGGCCTTGTGTCGTGCACACCCACCATGGTCGCCTCTCAGAGCCCAGCAGCCTGCTGGAGGAGAGAGGGGGGATGATGGTTGATGGCAAGGATGGGAGATCTTGGCAAGATCTACAATTACCTAGGAGACGAAGCTCTGGGAATGTGTGTGGGTGCAGCATCCCACATGTTTAGTGTACCATCCCCTGGGCTGAGGTCCTGCACTGAACAGGAAGAACCAAGTGAACCTAGCCCCACTCATCTTTCTGCTTCCTGACTGTAGACACATGACCAGCTGCCACCACGCCCTCCCCACTATGGCGGGATGTACCCTCAAACCGTGATCCCAAATAAACCCTTCCTTGAGATTCTTTTCAGGTATTTTGTCCCAGCAGTGAGCTGATACAGAAGGCCTGCCCTTCCTCCCGCCATGACTGACAGATGAGGCATCAGGTGTGACTTGGGAGATCTAGGGACATTTGTAGACATTCAACTTCTGACAGAAAAGGCAGAGACAGAAAGTTGGCCTTCAGAGCAGGCCCGACACTGTCTGCTGTGCTCACTGAGGGACACAGGAGCCTCTGCCCCTGCCACCAAATCCAGGGCTGACGGTCAGTTGCCAGGTGAGATCCTAAGGCGGAATCTTTTCTGTCTTGTCCCTGATGTGCTATCAATACTAGACAGAGGCAAGGAAGAGCGGGGAATCAAGGCCTACTGTGCTTAGTCAGTGTTAGACAGAGGCAAGGAAGAGCGGGGAATCAAGGCCTGCTGTGGACCGAGGAACGCCCAAGCCAACAAAGCCAACAGATGAAGTGCCTAGTTCTAGCTACAGCCAGGTAACCCCAGGCTACAGGATGCCTCCCATGGGGACAGGAAAGTTCAGACAAACAGATGGCTTCCTCCATACTCAGTCACACCAGTTTCTGAATCTGAAACGTGGGTCTCAGAGCTGGAAGGGCCCCCTTCCTACTTCCTGGCAAGGGGAGTTATTTATCCTGCTTAACTGGCTGAGGATGAAGTAGCCCGCTTAGCCTGCAGCTGCGGCCTGGGTCCTGTTGAGGCAACACTGCTGTGTGTACAGACAACAGCAACACCTCTGCACTCTGGCTGGGCTGGGCAGGCCAGGAGGACAGGCTGGCATGGTTGTCAGAGTCCAGCTTGTATTATGTGCAGGTAGGGCATTCTCGGTGAGACAAATTTCTCATCTGAGAAAAGCAAAGTTTATCTGGATACAGTACCCTTCTCTCTGATGGTCTCTTAAAACCAAGGCTCAGGCTAGCCTGGAACTCAATTGTTTTATCTCAGCCTTCCAAGTGCTGGATTGCCGGTGTGCCCTACCATGTCTCACTTGAAGTCTGGCTATTGGCCTATGTAGTATCTATTGAATGTTGTGTCTGGCCTCAAGCAGCCATGGGGTGATAGCAAGATACTCCAGAAAGCACTGTCTACCAACAAAGGAAAGAAAGACATCCAGGTAGACCCCTAACCAGCTCCAAGGAGCACAGGCTAGCTCTTACTGAGCTGATATCAGCTCTTATGGAGCAGAAGTACAGAAGCCATAGTCTTGCAGACCACAGGCTCACCCCTGTGAGCTGCATGTAACAGAAAAGGCCTCCTTCCTACAGACAGCAATGATGGCTCCCGGTGACATAGAGGTACCAGCAGGCAGAGGGTGGAGAATGCACGCAGGCTCCAGATCCAGGGGATGCTTTGTAGAATAAACAAGTACTCAGTGAGAATACGCATGGCCAGCTTCCTGACAGGGCAAAACTGGACCCCAGACATGAAACACAGATGCACACATACAACATACATAGACCACTGCATGTCTATGGGGATGGGCTTCCAAGATGTGCTGAGAAGCTGGGCATGGTGGTGCATGTCTGTAATCCCAGCCCTTGGGACAGGAGGATCACACATTTCAGGCCAGATTGGCTTACAAAGTAAGGCTCTGTCTAAAAAAAGGGAGTGAGAAAGAAAAAATGTCCAAAGGCTGGGGGATAACGGCAATGGAAAAACAGGGTGAGAACGGTTTTGATGCAATCGTTTCTTTCTACCTTCATTCAACCCCCACCCCACCCCCACCCAACCCCCCACCTCACCCCACCTACACCCACCTTTGTAGGTCAGAAAAAGTTATCACTTGTAACACAGCTACTGTGTGCCAGGCACCTACTGTGAGCTGCTTCCTCACATCAGCTCCCTCATTGTCCCTGGTGTCTCCTGAGTCAAGCAGCTATGAGAGCACTGGTTCCCAACAAGGTGACTGGAATTTAAATCCCAGTTCTGACATATAGCTGGATATCCTTACACAAATTATTTAAGGTCTGTGTGCCTGGCTTCCTCCTCCACAAAAGAAGTCCTGGCTACGGCAGCAAGATATGGAAAAGGCACTCAGTGCAGTACCTACCTGGCCCTGGCCAGTGCCCTCTTGTTTCTCAGGGACCTTTCCTATGCTGGATTCTTGACCCCTGTGCTTCTCTGGTGAGCTTGGCTGCTGCCTCCACCTGCAAGGCTTCCTAGATTTTTCCCTGTCTCCATAGGACTATGTCTGGACTCTCACTACTCTGGTTTGTCATTTGTCTCTGTCATGGGGTTTCCACATCCTGGGGACACAGGTCAAGGCCTTGTCCAGTGGAGGAATCTCATGAGAATTTGCTAAACAAATATTGGCTACTGTGACTATGATGGATCACCCCAAGTCCCCACCCTGCTCCACTGACCTGTAGCTCTCCCTCTCAGGAGACTCCACAGCAAGGTGATACAGGTCTCTGGAGAGTCGGTAGAGGTCCCCCTGGCTTGACTTCTTTGTCTTTTCCTGGATGGACCAAAGCAGGCCAAAGAACAGAAGCATACCACCCATGCTACAGCAGAGGAAGCTGACAGACTTGAGCAAAGTCAGGGGCATCTCAGGCAATGGCTGTTTCATGGTGGGGGCCAGTGAGCCAGGCTGGACCGCTGCATTACCTTCGCTCCATGATGCAAAGCAGAGTGTCCCCACCACCAGGACCACTGTGCCACCGACCATCATGCAGTTACGCACAGTGGAGGCCACTCGGCCTCTGACGCATGTCTACACACAGAAAGAGAGAGCATCTGAAGAAATGGTCAGCAAAATATACCAAGACCTCGGAGAAATCTTCTGACTTATACCTCAGTCTCCTTACCTGTGAAGACGATGCCCACTCACACAGGCCTACTTTGATGGTCACAGAGAAGCTGTTTTAGGTTCCTAGCATCACATCTGGGATGCAGTGGGAACTAAATAATGTAATAATAAATATGCCACCTTCGTTCTGGGCCTCTAAAGAGGCCTCGGGGACCTTGGCCTGATAGGTAAATGGTTCCTATGGTGGACAGTTTGTGGAGAGTCCAGGCCTGGCTGGTTGTGGCTTGCTTCTCCTCCCCTAGTCACCGCCACTGCTGCACATGGTCTAACTCTTGTCCCCATGTAACCAAAGATATAGGGGTATGAGGAACAGGACAAGTGTGAGTGACAGCACTGGGAATGTGAAGTTAAATGTGGTGCCATGCAGCAGGACTTCTCCAGGACATGTACACAGCCTGGTTTACCACAGTCACAGCACTGAGAGAGCCTACAGTCCTAACCGTAACAAAACAGTGCACGAACTATCTAATGACCAGGGGATGGAGTAATATAAACGCAATAAAAAACTGAGTTCAGGGCTGGAGAGAGAGAGCTCAATGGTTAAGAGTACTGGATACTCTTTAAAGGACCTGGGTTCAGTTCCTAGCACTCACATGGTGACTCAGATGAAATATGACACCCTCTTCTGGGCTCCATGGATCATGTGTGATCTCTTCTGCATGCAGGCAGAAGCAGAATACCCACACCCTTTTTTTTTTTTTTTTTTTTTTTTTTTTTTTTTTTTTTTTTTTTTTTGAGACAGGGTTTCTCTGTATGGCCCTGGCTGTCCTGGAACTCATTCTGTAGACCAGGCTGGTTGGTTGTGAACTCACAGAGATCTCCCAAGCTCTGGGATTAAAGGCATGTGACACTACTGCCTGGCATACCCACACATTTTTAAAAAGATTTATTTTAAGTTGGACTCAGCATGAATGCTTATCAGAAGGAGAGCACACATGTATTTCACTCTTTTGAATTCATATGAATCATGGGAAGAGGAAGGACTTAGAGAAAATATCGCACGGGGAAGCTGCGGGAAGCAAGCCTGGCCCTAGGCCTACAGACCAGAAGAGGCTGGCACTGGTCCCCAGTGCTCACCCCTAAGCCACTGCCCCAGTGAGCCTTCTATGTGGTGCCTTCCCATTACATTCCTGCAAAGGTCAGCATAGCCCTTGCTTGGAAAACTTCTGACGACCCCCAGGCTTTCTAGGAGCATACTACATACCTCTTAAAGTTGTCCAGTCCTTGCCTTCTCCTCTAACTAAGCCAGAGAGTTCCCTGAACCACTGAGTCACCAGCTTCATATAGAGATGCTTTGGAATGCAGTTCTTTGTTGGGAATGAGCCTTTCAGAAAGCTCATCCTGCCTCCAATCAAGGCAAGGTGACAGACCCATTCCAAACAAGGTGGGACTAACCAGCTTGGAGAAAGCACCAAACGGGGCAGCAGAGGGAATCCTGGGCCTGCAAACAAGGTGACGGGCCCTTCCACCTTCAATATCTTTGACTCCTATAACCAAGGCAGGTGGGTGGCACAGATGAATGGCCATTCTACAACTGAGGAGACACAGCCCAAACTAGGGAAGACTCTTTCATCAAAACCCAAACAGTATAACAGGGATCCATGTATCTTGATATGGGTGAAAGGAAGGGCTCCCTGGCAGGGAGGGTGTGTCTTCCAACCCCTTGGGGGCAGACAGGAAGCTCTGCTGCCCCAGAGAAGGTCCACCACATCCTGGCACTGTGCCAGGGCCTGCCAAGCCAGCTCGAACTCCACTGTTGTGCCAGGCTCCCCTTGTCCCATCCTAACTTCAACTTGTGCCACTTGGAACTTCCTCCTAGACCTGTTACTCCTTCTGACTGGGTCCCCACTTCACCCCTGTTCAAAAAAGAAACCAATATCCCTTCTCATAGAGACTGTGCTCACCTCCCTCCAGTCCAGGGAAGCTCTTCCCACCAGGAGGCTTTGTCCATGGCACCCTCCTCATGGCCCGTCAGTTAACTCTGAGACCTTGACTGAGCAGGCTTCTGACACCCACATCTTTGAGTTCACAATCTGTCTGTCAGGGCTAAGAGGTTGTGGAGTTGTGTTCAGCAAGTTGTATCTGAGGCCTGAATTCATGGAGCTAGCCCCTAGTCAGACACTACCAACTTATCTAGTGTCTCAGTGACTAAGTGCACCCCGTACTCCCAGTCATGAGTACTCTACCACGTCGGGAGGGAAATGGACCAGGAAAGTACCTACTCTCCAGCTATCTACTGCAAAGGGTTCGGTTCAAATCGGGAGAAGAAAGCCCTGTTGCCATCAGAAGAGGAAGAAAGGAGCTGCGCCTGCACCCAGACCGACAGAGACGAGGAGAGCCTTGCAACGTTCCTGCTCCTGTCCCACAAAGACACTATAAGATCACCCTACACACTTGTTTCTGTAGAAAGGTAACTATCTGAACCCACACCCACAAGCTTCAGAGAAAACGGAGCCAGGCTCAGTGCAGTGGCGTTAGACAGCAGGAGTAGGGAACCAGGTCACTTCTGCTGGGTCCAGGTTAGAAGAAGGACCACACCCTTAGCAGAAGTTGGAGTGTTCTCAAGGGAGAGAGACAGGATGTTCGCACCCACCTCGCATGCAGCCATCGGGCTGGTCTAGGAGAGAGCCCAGTGCACTAGAAGGCCTGGTGGCTGAGCTCTGCAGGTGAGTGAGCATCTGGGGGGTTCTGGTAGCTTTCCACAGCTGCACCCTTGGCACTTCACCGGCTCATTGAGGACCCTGCTTTCGTCCACAGTAAGGCTGAGTGAGCCCTCAGTGAGGTTGTTTCTTCTTTCCTTGTCACCCCACCCAGCAGCTGGGAATCCCACTGGGAAGCCATCCACTCACTGTCTCCTAGTCCTTGGATCGTCACTAACTACCTCAAGGACTCTGGTGGCCCGCTTCAGTGCTTCCTCGCAGGCCAGTGTCCAACAGGCCCCTCCTAACCTTAAAGGGATAGTCTAATGGGGGCGGGGACACAATTTCCCAGACAGGAGGAAACTGCACAGATGGAACTTGAGCCTAGAGACATCCAGGCGGGGTGGACTGTGGGAAACCTAAGCCAGGATCCCCTCACACCTGTTTCACAGGAAAAAGAAACCGAGGCTCTATAAGGGAAAGCCACTTATCCAACTGTTTCCCGCACCCTGCGTTGACAGGGCTAGAGAGCAGCTTCCCAACCCTCCCTTACTCTCACCACATTCCAGGACAGCATTATCAGGCAGAGGACCAGCTTGGAGTGCTCCTTCCCGGAGGACACTGCCTTCTAAGAGAGAGGGGCCAGGAGCTGTGGTATGGCTATCCCTGAAGCCCCTCCTCCTGCATCACCCAGTGTGAGTGTTAAGTCACTTAGGGTAAATGCCTATTGTTTTTATGAATAGGTAGTTCTGGGAGCCCAGGAGAAGGGTTAGCTCAGTTTGTGGCCCATGTCTGTGGGAGGAGCAATGGGCCACAGCATTCCACAGAAGGAGTAGTGTACGCTAAGCTGGACCAAGTCATAGGAAACTTGTGACTGAAGAAAGATTCCACTCAGAGTGCCTGAGTTCTTTGAGCGTTAATTCCTCCCTCCGGTGAGGTCCCTTGTACTTTCTTCCTCGTTGTGTGTGGTCTGCATAGATGTCACCATTTTGCAGCAGAAAACATGCCTGGAGAAGGCTGAGAAGCTGAGTGGCTGAATGGAGACAGGCACTTCTGGCTTTGCCACACCCCATCAAGACAGCCTGCGGGTGACTAAAGGCGGCCAGCAGCTCCTTGGTGCTATGCTTAGATGTAGGTGGGGGAAAAGGAGGCCATGACACTTTCGGCTCCGTTAATTTCAGCTGTGCAAGTATCCACACACACAGGGTGTGTCCCCTCCCTGCCTGTTATCCATAGGTGAGTCACTGCATGGTAAGGTTGAGGTCCAGCCTGGATCTTTTTTGACCCTGAGTCTCTGGTTAGAAAATGAAGGCCTTAGCTGGGAAGTTGTGGTTCCTGGCTCCGGCCATTTACAGGCTAGACATACCTGGCCATGTCCTCTGTAACATGGAGATCCAGAGACCCCTCCCCAGGATGGCTACTGGGGTTTAATGAGACCTTCCCTCTCCCAGAGAAGCTGGTTTGTATACACTCTTGCATTACACAGTGGCTCAATGCATGACTCTCCCCTAACCTGTGGAGACCTCCCTAACAACCATGAGGCTTTGGATTCAGCCAGTCACCCTTCCCTAGGGACTCCAGGGACTGGAACTGAATAAATTTGGAATACAAAGAACTGGGCCAGTTCTGTCTCCATCTTCTGCCTCCTTACCCCCTTCCAGAAGCTGGGATAGCCTTGGTTAGCTATAACGCCGGGACATGCTGCTGAGTGCTGTGGGCCAGTGTACATTTGCACATCTTCTTTGAACAAGTAGCCTAAAGAACTCACTTTTACAAAACTGATTTCAGATCCCAGATTTAAAACAAAACAAAACAACCTCAAGCTGTCCCTTTAAGACTAGGAAGGCTAGGAGAAATGGTTCCTTAGCAACGTTGGGTTTTCCCCAAACTGTACTAGGTTCAGGACAAGGATTGGAATGCATGTTGGTTTGGAGTGCATGATCCCAGGGGTTCATAGCATGAGCTAAGACACAGCTGCACCCCGCTGAAATGGATGGCCTACCAGGAGCCCATGAGCTAAAATAGCTTAAACACCAGCCAGCCTGGGATCTTCCCAGGGAGCCGCTGAAGCACAGCTCTGAGCTGAGGGTGGATGTCAGCCGAGTCACACAGGCACAGTACAGAGTCTGCACTATCCCACAACAGACACAAGACACAGAAACAGGCAGATCTCTAAATTCTGGACCAGCCCGGTCTACACACTAAAGTCAGCGTGGAACCCTCTACTGATGCATACGACCACTTCCAAACAACAGTCTGGGATTCAAAATGACACACATTTTTTCCCTTAAAAGTGCTATATAGGTTTTTGCTTAATAATTAAGACTGTCCTTAGTAATTTAAATAATAAACACGAGCTGGAGAGATGATTCAGTGGTTAAGAGCACTTACTGCTCTTCCAGAGGTACTGAGTTCAATTCCCAGCAACCACATGGTGGCTCACAACCATCTGTAATGAGATCTGATGCCCTCTTCTGGGGTGTCTGAAGAGAGCGACAGTGTACTCACATACATTAAATAAATGAATAAATAAATAACTCTTTTAAAATAAATAAATAAATACACATCAATCTTATATTTATATAAAGAGAAAGGGGGATATGGGTATGTTTATCATTTCAAATTAAAAGATAATGCTTTTCTGTTGCCAAAAAGCATTTTCCCTAGGAAAGATATATTCTGCTGGCCAATGTGGGGACCCAGAATTGGGACTGGGGCAGAATTGTTTTGCTTTTATTCAAAAACAAAAGCTATGCTCACGAGAGTTAACATGGGGTAGAGTTTCACATTACTCTGTGTGGCAGCTTTTCTCCTTGGGATGTGGGCCTCCCACAGGAGAACGGATGGCAGCTCTTGAGAGCTAACTTAATGGATGTCACACACCACTCCCATGGGAGATCTGAGTACAGCTCATCCTAGCACGTGACACACACCCAAGTCAAACACTCTCAACAGATACATGACGGCTTGGGAAGGTGCTTGTACAGTAAATGGAAGGGAGTTTGAATGAAGTTGGATATGGAGAAGAATATTAGGTTAAGAGACAACAGGGTCAGATAAATAGTTCCACATAGATAATTATCTCTAAAGAAGGGAGAAAGAAATGAGAATAGATATAAATGTTTTCAAGGGTACATAGATAATAATTAAATAAATCCAGGCCTTTGGTCTCAATACTTGGGAGACAAAGGCAGGTACAGACAGGCTCCTTGTGAATTCGAGGCCAGCCTAATCTACAGAGCAAATCCAAGTCAGCCCAGACTACACAAAGAGACCTTATCTCAAAAAAAAATGATGATGATGATGATGATCATATTAATAGTAATAGCTTATGTTCAGTAGTTATGATGATATTACACATCCTCTATGAGAGGGGTCAAAATAAAGCACACCTAAGTAGAAAAGAGGCTGCTGAACTAAATCAATCTGTATTTCTAATGACTGCCAGACAAAGACTCGGTGTGCTGGGAGAGAGGCTGTGCATTTGTGTTAACAAGAAAGAAGAAAAGGCTTTGGACTCCTTCCAAAGTAATAAGGATCAGATTTGATAGAGAGAGGCTCCCTGAAGATCTCGGCTGCAGTCAGGAGAAAATCAAAATGACCAAACGCACTGGTAATGTATATTGTTAAATCTTCTATGAAACAACTCTGAAACTGGCTTGAACATATGTATCTTTCCATCCAGAACTTTAGCTTACATGGCCAATAAATCTTGTTGGCTACAGGGTTTTCATGACTTATTACTACATACCATCCTTTCATATGGCATGAATGGAGATTTATATTGTAGTTTGATTACACGATCAAACTGACTTCTAAAGAAAGACAGTTCTCTTTCACCTGTTCAAACAAAGAGCAGGAAATAATCCCTAATTGATCTGTGCATCCTGTACATCCCATACAAATGTCTTTATAAAACTATATGTTGCTTGAAAGTTTTGTATATTGCAGAATAAAGGACCAGAAGGGCAGCCCTGACAGGATTCATCCTCGAAGATGCTGAGACCTGCTGTTCCAGATCCCTGCTTGATCCTGCCTCAAACTGATGCTATTTCCAGAGTCTTGCTTCTAGAACAGCTTCAAAAAGGACTGCTAATCACAGATGATTCCAATTCATCCAGCCTTTCAGACTGTTCCAATCAGGACTTCAATTAAGCCCTAAACTTTCTCAGCACATAGAGACTGGACAACAAATGCTACAGCTAGAATTCTTTTGACTTAATCATTTTCTCAGTTTGCTTTTGGGTCCCTAAACAGGAATCCTTCACCCCAATTCAGCAGAAAACAATTATAAAAAGACCGTCATCCCAGTTCCTTAAGTTGGGGTGCATAGTTTTGGTCATTTTTTGAGTTATAGATCTGTTGTCATTTTAAGGGATGATTATAAAAAATTATGGTCTTGGACATGGAGAAAACAAAATAGAGAGTTTAGACTCAGGAATTTCTATCTTTCCTTTCCTCTTCTCTATCCTTCTTTCTTAGATAAAGGATGAAGGTTGAAAAGAAAAAGGGGGGATGTAGAAAGATAAGAAATTAGACACATAGGAGTTGATTATTGAATCTATTCTTAAACCAAAAAACATTTTGTAGCCATAATCACCCATTGGTTGAGGTCTTTCTATTTTGATGCAGAATTGAGGTTAAGTTTGTTACATTCGTACAATTTTTTTTTGTATATTGGTACAGATTTGAAATTTTCATTGGTATAAATCTTTGTATACTGATACAAAAATTAAGATTAATTTTGTTACAATATGATTATATGTGTGATTCAACTCTTATATAGGTATTATGCCTATGCAATTCATTTTAAAAATACAAGGACTAGTCCCAGTAATTTTAATAGCTACTATTACAAAGTGTTTAGGGTAGTTAAATAATGCAAGTTAATAATCAATTAATCAAACTCATGGTCATATTAGATTGTAGTCTCGATTCTCTCAAAAATATACATGCTGTTGATTGTTCATATATGCTATAATTAGATAGTCTTCAAAAGCCTCAAAAATTCACTGAATATGGCATTTATAATTGTTTCATTATTCAAATATCTTCTGACTATGAGACAGGTCTGCTCCTAGCATTACCACCATTCCATTTCAAAGATGATGAAAATCAATAACCTCCCTATGGAGTTGTGGCAAGCTAGCCACCGGGCAAAGAAAATACCCATGCTTCAACTACAAACAAATCTGTAGAGAAAGGACAAAAGGGCATAGGGAAGTCAACTGCCAAGCTCTGCCATGACAGGGTAAGCAAGTCCTGCAT